GTCGCGACGTCGGCTGAGTCTGACAGAATTCAACGGGGTTTCCGGCTTGTTCGCGTCCACGATCGGAACACCTTGGCCGAGCAAACTACCAACGCGATTGTCGCGTTAATCCGGCTCGTTAACGGAGGGGAAAATCGAACCGTCTATCCGCTCGAGCGGACGACGACCTCTCGAAGACGTTCCTTACCCAACAGGTTTCTTCATCGCTCTTTTAATAGGCGAGAATTACAAAAGATTTACAAACCGTAATCGCACTTTCTTCGGCAACTTTCACCCAGTTCGCGGTCCTCGAATTCGAGACCCTCGTATAGTCGAGGACGTCGAATGCACGGAAACGTCGTAAGATGGATGGAGGAATATACTTTTTAATTATCGCGGACGTCGAAGATCATCCAACTTAACGATGACTGCGTTCGATTCAGACGAAGGGTAGAACGGATTTTTAATTAATTTCGTGTGACCCGATTATCGGTAGATTTTTAATTAAACTAAAAATAGAAGGAAAAAAATGATCGTAGTTAGTTCGAAGCGTGTAAGCCCCATTGAAATGGAACCAGGACTACGCGTAGTTGTTCGAAACTTGGAGTGCAACATCCTCGAACTTAAATTTAACTAGCAGCTCACCCTCAGGATTAACGCGGTATCGTCGTAATTACGCGAAGCACGGGGCCAATGTGGGTTGCTTGCTTTGCTTCGCGTGCGCCGCGAAACGAGTCGAATTAATCTCGTCATCGACCAACGATGTCGCCTCGCTCGCGACCCGATATTCTCGATTTCCTCGGGAAACAAGGTGCCGAAAAAGCGCGATAATGCTTCCGGAGAAAGGGAATTCCCTGCGAAACGGGTTAAACGAATCCGAACACGTCCGGGAATAGTAATTTCCAAGGCATCGACCGTTTTGTTCCTGCCTTTCCGTCCGTCTCAGAAATCTCTTTCTCCCGCTCTGGAAACCGCTTTACGAACTTTTTCCGCTGTATCGAATTCCGATTCCAGCCACGGACACTCGAACACTCCGGGTATCCGGTCGCATCCACCAGCGGTCGCGGTATCGTCTCTTCGAGCCCTTCTCGAGATGGAATATTCGCGCGCGTACAATGGCTTTTCCTAACTTTCGGTCTCTTGGGACTGACCGCGGGATTCCAGCGTTTGTTCCACCTTCTCGCACTTTCTTACACCGTTGCGTCTGTTCGGAGTTGCTCGGAATTACCTTAATATTTACGAGTATTCTATCTGTTAGATTTATTTAACAGAAACTGAGTGTTTCCTTCTACAAAAATGATCGGGTCGTAAACTTTCACAAACGTTGAAGAGGATGCAGATGTTTATTTTAACTATAGGACTCACAGTGTCTATAGACTCGTGACGAATTCTCCTTCGACGACTTTTCTTTTTCTCAAGGTTCTTGACCAGTAAAAACGTGCCTTTCGGAGTTTTACAATTTAAGTTAAAGTTTCTTTTAAATTCAGTATTATTTTATTTCACCGCCTATTTCCTATAAAGATAAATCTCAATAAATTATATGTCGCGGAGATGCCACGTTAACCGATCGTTTTGTTTCAGCCGAGAAACTACCGAGCGGTTTCCCGCTGATATCTCAAGCACCGACGACGAAGGTGGTCGAAATGGGTCACAACGCGGTGCTGATTTGCACGGCCGTTGGCTCGCCGCCTCCCATCATATCCTGGGTCAGGGACATGCTGCCCATCGACACGACCAATGCCCGGTACACCGTGCTGGACACCGGTAAGTACCCGAAAGTGGAATTTTCTTACGCGACAGAGACGAATCCGGAAGATCGAGCGGAAGAGAAATACGGACGTTGGATGGATCGAAGACGTTTGGAAGCGCGCGTTGGTGTGCGCGAGCAGCGTGAAACTCGGTGGCGCGTGTCATATCTCGTCGAGTGCCAGAGTGCGTAAGTCACTGTCAACTGGCGGTAGCGTTGATCGAGTGGTCACGCGATATGGGAGCATCCAGCGCATCCATCTAGTTTGCCGAGAGCGCACCTGCTCTGTTCCGCTCGCGAACCGCGCCTCTGCAAAGTCCGTATCGTCGACGTTTTCGATCAAACTGTCAAAAGTCCCAGACTTGGCGGCGAAATCGAACGAACGGGCCATTACCGGTCCCGGAGAGCGAGGATCGAACGGAGATCAACGTAATACGAGATAATCGCGCCTTCGGAACAAAAGCGACAACGAGTTAACGAGAAACCGCGATTCACGAATACAATTCGCGATAACTGGCGCGAACGAACGAGCGGACGAGTCAACGAGCAATTTCTATATAGCGAGGTTGTCGAGCTAACGCACGACGTAACCTATTATCATTATTTTTCCGTAGCGCCTAGACCACCCTACGTATTAACCCGTGTACACCTACACCCGCGAGCGTAACCCGTTCGCTTTGTTTTTATCGCAATAGCGGTATCATTATCGAGCGACACGTCACGTAATACCGGCGTGCACTCGACCGACTATCTTTACGACGAGCGGCGCAGTTTGCCGCGACGTGAAAAGTATACGTTAGATGCAGGAAAGGCTGCCGCGTACACGCTAGCGCAGCACGCGTTCCGCTCGTATCCGTCCTCCTGTTTCGATTCCGCGCGCGATCCACCCAGTTCGTTTCGAGCATATAGGACGAGCGATCGTCGCGTAAGCTCGCGTGCTTATCGAGGAATTTCTCGACGCTCGGACCGCCGACTTTGTAAGACGCGAACGTAGAAACGCGATTCGCGACACGACGCGAAAATACAGAGGTCGAAGGGAGGAATGACAAGCTCGAAACGGAATTCCGCCTCCCGGTCGCATCAGTCACTACGCTCCTTCCCGCAACGCTGCTCGCGTGTCTTCGCTCAGCCAGTTCCAGCGGGACACCCTCGATATCGCGTTATGGAGCGTTACGTGGCTTAATGCGTCGCGAAAGGCGCTGGATAAAAGGGCGATACCGTTGTGAATTTTCGAGAAAATGGAGATCGCGAAAAGACTCCGGAAAAACGGTCACGCACGATAATCCTGTTCGTGGAAGCTTTTTCGAAAAAATTCTAAAGGATCCCAAATGAAATTCGTGCGCGCCCTTGTCCGCGACTATTGGGTTAACGTTGAAATTTTAACGGCGAGGAAGCTTGCGTTAGAAGTCTGTCGGTCGGAGCTATTGTTTGAATTCATTTACGAGAGTAGCTATGCTGGCCAGTTTACGCGAGCGATATCAAAGCGCAGCTGGCCGTTATGGAGCACCGTTGAAAACTCGCGAGCGTCGCGACAGGGCCGGCGCTCTTGTTAAATTACGCGAAAGCTCATCCAGAATCGAAGAAGAGGTTCGCCAGAGGAAACGTTCGAAGATTGCTCGTGTTACGGACTCTCGACGCTCTGTACGGACGAACAAACGCGAACGAGTCGAGAGCCAGGGTTGGCTTTTGCAGCGGGAAAGAGAGGGAAAGACAGGGACACGCAGAATGTAATTCCGAAATTCTTTGCGGCGAAAGCGGACAGCGTAGAACGCGTTACGCTCGGACAATACGGTCGCGGATCTCCATTTCCGTTTATCGCGCAAACGAGACAAATTAATTAAAGTTAGCCCGGACAGGTAGCAGCGTCGCTCGCGTATTAAAATAACGACCGCTTTGGTGAACGGCGAGCACTTTACGATAATTGAAGAGAATTAAACTCGCGCGCATTCTCTGCCACCCGAGATAAACCAATTTAACGTTTCATTTAAGCTTTGTCGATGTTCGCGGAAAGATCGCGCGCGACCAAAACACGTATCGAACATGGCAGTTACGTCGCCGGAGAAGAAGGCGTCGAGGGTAAAAACGAGAGCCTGGCCAGAGCTTAACGCATCGAGAATCGTTAAATTATATTTTCCAGCGCTCGGCCGTAAAAGCGCGGAGGGCAAGGCGAAGTAAAAGCGCGGTAGGGCAGTTAACGCTTCGTCAACGCTCGTAAAATTTCTAGCATTAAAGCTGCGAGGCTTGATGAGCAAGGTTGGAAGTTTGAAACAAGCATCGAGCTTGTGCCACGCTCGATGCTCGTAACACCTGCCCTGGGATTCTCACCCTCGTACTTTCGACCGGCCTCTTTCTTCCTTACGTTTTGCCCGTTTCCCTTAATTGCGGCATAATATTCCGATCGTTTCGCAACTCGTGTAATTGTCCGTTACGAGTAAAAGAGATCGTCGTCGCGTTATTTACGATTTCTCGAAAGGAACGAAGGACGATCAGATGCGCGAGAAAGTTACGAAATTCTTGCTGGATTCTAAACTGTAGTCGGTTCCGGCGACCAACCAGCGTCTCCTTTTCCAACGCGTTTCTCGGTCGACGGACCTTTTCGAGACCAACAAACCCGGCAGCTCCGCCTCGGCCG